CCCTTTCGTGCCCTAAGTTCGGAATGCCCTAGAAATCGCGAAAGTCGCGATTTTAGTCTGTCAGTACACCTGGACCGATCGGTCTAGGTGTAGACCGATCGGTCTAGGTCTCGCTTTCTCGGCGTCTTCATTCTTCTCCGGACCGATCGGTCTGCCCTGTAGTGATGCCTAGACCGATCGGTCTAGGGCCCGTTTTCTCGCGACGTGTTCTTTTCTCTGGACCGACCTTGGGACCCTTCCGGCTGCATCGTCTAGACCGATCGGTCTTGGTGCAGACCGATCGGTCCAGACGTCTTCTCCTTCTCTCGACTCTCCGTTTCGGTTCCTGCACAACGGTTTGGGTCTACATGTCTCCTGCAACGTCTCCAAATCCTCGGGTGTCTGGTTCGGCCAAACTAACATTGATTCGGTCCGATCCAAGTCTCTGGTTCCCTTGCCTTACGTCGAATTCCGTATTTCTCCTCATAGACCTGCCAAAACCCGCAAAATAGTCCCGAAGAGCTGAATGGGCTCTAAAAATGCCTAAGAGTGTGTGGAAACCGTTTAGAAACCAAAGGCATATTCGTGTAAAATCCAACTAAAATCCGAGCTATTAGTACCGCGCGAGGAATAATTTCTTTAAGGAGACACGGTTTGCCGTGGATTCGGATTTGGTTTTCCGGTTTTAATAAAAAAACATATTGATATAATGATGTTGGTTTGAACATAACTTTCTATATCGTTATCGGAATTGCATGTTCTTGACGTCTTTTCATAGATATCGAAATTATCTTTCTAATGATGTATGACATGCATGATGTAGTTGTATATTTTGAAAGTTATTAAGCTCGAAATTCTTGGTATGGAATTGAAAGTTAATAAAACATGAATATGAGACATATAAAATAACACACCCAACATGTGCAGCAACGCCTTACGCTTAGCTCTTCAACGTTTGCAGTTAGGTAATATCAATAAGAAAATTAAAGGTATAGTTTTTATTTCAAGTTTTTATTTTATTTTTTGTTTTTTAGATTTTAGTTTTTGATTTTTGGTTTTTTGTAGTTTTTAAAAACTTGATTGGAAGATTAATATTTTAGTTTCTAAATTTTAGTTCTTTAATGTAAAATTATCAAAAAGAGTTTTTATACATATGTAAATTTTCTTTAAAAGTATACATATTTTTATCTTTTGAATATTTTTATATAATTAATATTTAATAGAAAAATGAAAAGATCTATTAACAAATAAGATTTTTTAATTAAAATCTATTCAAAAGTGGTTTTTGGCTTTTCCTTAATTTTTTAAGAAAATTGCTTAAAGAATTATTAGGAAAAATAAAAATAATAAAATTTTGATTGAATATTTTTTAGATTTTTAAAAACCAAAAACCGAGAAAACTCCAAACAGATCAAAGCATCAATTCTTTTTTTTTTTTACTAAATTTATAAATTTATGTTCAAAAGAACAGTTTAATACCTTCAATTAATTTGTATTACGCATTTTAATATAATTTTGTTAGTTTTATGTCTTTTAACATCTCAATTTTATTATTTTTATTTTAATTTCTGTTTGAACAAATATCTCAAAATATACCAGATCAGTGTATAATATGTCAAAAAAATCAATTATTGATGTGACACCAGGATGACGTAGTTTAATATTTTGCTTTACGTATATATAAATACACAGACACGTGTATATATATATATTCAGTTTTCTGTGATATTAAACAAGAATGTTTCGGTTTATCTTCTATAATATAAAGATAAATCTTTTGCGTAATCTCATATGACAATTTTTTCCGATACTTAAAACTAACAAATTATATAATTTAAATATATTTTGAAGAGAAAACGAAATGTTTAAATTATAATTAAAAGAATGTGCATATTATACTAGATGAAAAAAAATCAGTTTTGGTATTAATCTCTAAACTTTGTTCATTTGTTGAGCGTATCAAAATTATTTACATATTTTTTTTGGGAGTATAGAAAAAATATAAACTTTTTAAATTTGATAAATAAATAAATAAATAAACTTTTAATTTAGTATAAAAAATACAAATTTTGAAAATTTTCATGTCAATTTATATAGATACACAAATTTTATTTTTTTCCATATATAACCACACAAAAAAATAATTGAATTTCATATTTTTGTAGAATTATGATAAAAAAAATTTCAAAATTTATATATTTTTATATAAAATTAAAATATTATATATTTATTTACCATTTAAAAGTTCATATTTGTTTTTAGAGATTCCCTTTATATGTCGGTTACATTACATTTCACACGCCCGAATGCCAATCTATTCATCGTCTCTCTCTCTCCCCTCTGGTTTCTGCAGTCACTTCTTGGTTGACGACCTCTACTCACAAACCCTCCGATCTCTCTCCTGCGAAAATGGACGTCCGAGAATCCATCGCCAACCAAAACAACGTCGCTTTGACCCTCTCGAGCCACGTCATCTCCTCCATCGCCGGAGACTCCAATTTCGTCTTCTCTCCGGCGTCGATCAACGTTGTCCTTGGCATCATCGCCGCCGGCTCCGGCGGATCCACCAAGGACCAGATCCTATCCTTCCTTCGGGCTTCGTCCTCCGATCATCTTAACGCCTTTTTCTCCGAGATCGCCTCTGTCGTCTTTGCCGACGGCAGCCCCAACGGCGGCCCGAAGATCTCTGCTGCCACCGGAGCCTGGATCGATAAGTCTCTCGCGTTCAAACCTTCTTTCAAGGATCTTCTTGAGGGTTCTTACAAGGCAACTTCGAATCAGACTGATTTTCAGACCAAGGTATTGTTGACTGATTTTTTAGGTTTTCGTTTTCGGATTCGATTTATGATGATGGTGCTTGAATCTGGTATTGCTCAACTTCATAAGTTTCCTGGAATTTTTTTGAAGTCTGTGATGCTTTCCTTATTAGGCTGATTCCCAGAGCTTGGTAAATTTACTAATTTTGTCCCTTTTAGATTCTCGGATTCGATTTCTGATGGTGTTTGATTGTTGTTTGTATCAACTTACTCGTATATAGACGGCTCCGGTTCTGCAATAAGATGAAGAGGCAAGGAGAGAAAGGGTTGTTTGAATAGTAGGAAAATCCAAAGGGAACTGAGAATTTATTCTCTCCCCAGTTTAATGCCGTGGAACCCAAACTGGCTGATTAGGAGAATTATTGATCTTTCGGGTTCCTTTTTTTTTTATCATTGGCTTGGTTAATCATCGAATTTGTGTTATATGTTCTTCCTGTTTATGAACACTTATCTGTCACTAACTCTGCGAGGCGCATTTATAAAGGCAGAGTATTGAATTGTGCCCTTTGGCTGATAGCTTTTATGTTGATGGCTTATTTTTTAAGGCTATTGAAGCAGCAGGGGAGGTGAATTCATGGGCCGAAAAGCAGACCAATGGTCTCATCAAGGAGCTTCTTCCATCTGGGTCTGTTGACAGTATGACTAAACTCATATTTGCAAATGCTTTGTACTTCAAAGGAGCATGGCATGAGAAATTTGATTCGTTGGTAACAAAAGATGACGACTTTCACCTCATTGACGGTACCTCAGTGCGTGTGCCCTTCATGACCAGCACGAAGAAACAGTACATAAGCGCTTACGATCGTTTCAAAGTACTGGGGCTCCCTTACCAACAAGGGGAGGACAGGCGTCAGTTCTCTATGTACTTCTATCTTCCTGAAGAGAAGAACGGATTACCTGCTTTGTTGGAGAAAATAAGTTCCACTTCTGGATTCATCGATAGCCACATTCCCTACCAACAAGCGAAGGTGGGGGAATTCAGAATTCCGAAGTTTAAGTTCTCTTTTGGGTTCAAAGCTTCAGAAGCTCTGAAGGGTTTGGGCTTGACTGCACCATTTACCGGTGAAGATGGCCTGACAGAGATGGTTGATTCCCCTTCCATGGGCAAGAACTTGAATGTTTCAAGCATTTTCCACAAATCTTTTATCGAGGTTAACGAAGAGGGCACAGAAGCTGCTGCAGCCTCTGCCGGAGTTATAAAGCTCCGGGGCTTGCTCGTGGAAGAGAAGATAGATTTCGTGGCTGACCATCCTTTCCTCTTCTTGGTTAGAGAAAACATAACGGGAGTGGTTCTGTTCATCGGTCAAGTCCTCCATCCTCTGCAAAATTAACACAACTTGTTGTTCCTCCTGTTGTCGTTGTTATATGGAGAGAATGCTGACACCCTAAATGGCTTAAGCTTAGCTTTGCCTTGTTTGGCTTTGTAATGTGAATGAGAGAACCAACCTTGAGATTGTTGACTATCGCTTCATGCTTGTTGGGTTCTGTGATTTGACTTTCCAGCGTCTAAGACTATTGTCACGGATTTAGAGTTTTCTTGAACCAATCCGTGCGACACTTGAACGTTTTTGGAATGAAACGGAAGAAATTTTTGTATTAATGTTTGTCTGTAAACAAGTCTTTGTTTCTGATACCAAAATGAGAAGCCAAAATTTCTATTTATACAGTTTTGGGTCAGAGGATTAGGTGAAAAAGACGGTCCGGCTGTTTGGGAAAGGTAGATCAGACGGCTCAGGCTTTCTCGTACTGGTTAATCGGACGGTCTGGATTTTTCCGGATATGAACATCGGATGGTTTTCTTGGGTTATCTGACCGAGGATGCACCATGTCGCTTGGTCCAATGTTTCTTGGACGGTCGAGACTTCTCGAACAGTTTGCCTCAAACGTTTGGGGTTCTCTAAACTAGTCATCTTGAATTGGATCTATCCACAATTCTGCAAAAAAAAAAAATTCGGGTAATACCATGTCGTTACACTCCCTTCACCGAATTTCATGACGCCCTCGCCGTGTTATCAGGGAGCTATTTTGTTGGTTTATTTGTCCGATTTATTTTGGTTCATTTGGTAGTTTTTGGTTTAGCTTCTTTTTTATTTTTCATCTTCTGCTTTTGTATAAAACTCTGTTTGTTTTTCATTCGTTGACTATATGAGAAAATTGTTCCAAAGTTGCGCTCTAATTTCTCTCTTTCGATTTCTTCTATTTGTTATGGTATGAGAGTAGAAATGCTCCCAATTCCTCTTTTCGATCTAGTTTCTCTTGCTGGATCAATTGATTTTTCTTCGTCTTTTCTTTCTATTATGGATCCTACTATTGATTCTACGATTCCTGCTAATTCGATTTTGAATTCAGCTCGATCTGCTCCTCCAACTACTTCGATAGTTGATCCTTATGCTAGTCCGTTAACCTTACATGCCGTGGATTCTTCAACTTTGTAACTCGTTCTTGCGAAGCTCATCGACGAATCAAATCACAGTGTGTGGTTGCGTGTGTTTGAAATGACCAAGTCCAAAAAGGAAACAAAAAGCGAAGATTGATAAGAATGTTAACTCCAAGAAATTCAAGGAGAATTCCTACGTTTGTGGAAAAGCTAGACATCTGGTGAAGGATTGCTACCATGGCAAGGAAAATGGTTAGAAAAAAAATGAGAATAAGACTCAAGCTCATGTAGTTGAAGTAGAAGGTGGTCAGTCTGGTTTCTTAGCAGTTATGCCAGAAGTGAACATAGTCGGAGGTAGTCCGTGACAATGGTGGATTGACACTGGAGCAACCCGCCATATCTGTACTAACTGTAACAACCCAAAATCCGGTATTTCGGATATCGTTGAATCGTCACTTGGGTTATAAAAAAAATCCCATTTATTCTAAAATCAACCATCAAAATCAAGCTCTACAGCGGAAGTCTAAACAATGAATTTCAATAACTTAAGTCTGAATATTAATTTCATGAATAAATTGAATAAAGGAAATAGAAATTCTAAATCTTCGTCTTTCTGGCAAACTACCGAATCCAACCAAAATAATCTGCTTCACCTTTCATCTGTGGAGAAAAAGGAAGGGGTGAGATACGCGAATAGCTCAGTAAGGTTGCAAGACTATAAATCTCGCCTCTGTACCCAGAATAGACAATCAAATAGAAATCAAATTCAATCAACATTCAACTCAAACAAAACTCAATCTATCGATTCACGTTCTTCTCCTAACTTTTCTTTGTTCGATTCTTTAAAACGAGTCCAAACTCTAGGTCCATTCAGTACCCCTCAGACTTAGCTTAAAACTCTTTTATAAAACAAAACCAAAAACATCTTTGTAACCCTCTACGGATCACCGCCTTAGTCGGAGTTACCAAAACACGACCAATAGTAATAACCCTCTACGGGTCGCCGCCGTAGTCGGGGTTACCACTCCACATGGATCGCCGCCATGCTCGGATCGTTATGCCATCGCATACGGATCGCCGCCGTACTATGGCCTCAAAACTCAACCCATAGTCATAACCCTCTACGGATCGCCGCCGTAGTCGGGGTTATAACTCCACATGGATCGCAGACATGTCCGGGTTATGATCATACCATGACATACAGATCGTCGCCGTACCATGGTCTCAAAACTCACTTTAAAAATATTTTTAGCACAGTCTGAGGTCACATCATAGTTCTTAACTCAATTCTTTACTTCTCCCACCTTTCCAAACATCATGCCAAAATTTAATTAGTATCAGCAATTCAACTCATTCTAACGATCAAATAAATCCATTAAGAAACGTCATCACATAACATGTACGTCACAAGCCATAATCACTCAACAGAAATTTATCAATCATCAATCATCATTCATTATTCATCAATCATCAACCTTCATCAATCATCAATCATCAATCATCACTCATCACTCATCAATCAACAATCAACATACATCATAAATTCGCAAGAAAATTTAAGGCGTCTATCCTAAAGTCCTAACCGCATGATATCTGCGTTCCCTATCATCATGTCTAAGCGAATAGAAGAAAGAGGAGTGACTCGGAGATTAAGGCAATGTTAGCACAGCTGCTACAAGGATAAAAGACGCAAGAAACGGTACTACATAGCCTGAAGATGGACCAAGAGGAGGTAAAGAATCAAGTGGGGAGCGTGCAGTCTCAAGTAGATGGAATGCAGTCGCATCTAAAATTACTCGACAACTAGGTTGCCAAAGACCGAGTGGGTCACTTCCCGGGAAGCCTGAGATCAACCCACGAGAGCACTGCAATGTTATCACCCTGAGAAGTGGCAAGCATCTTGAAGAAGTCACTTCACCGATGATGGAAAAGGGGCAAAGCTCCAAAGGCAAAGAGGTCGTGAACGAAGAAGCTGAGGAAGTCTATGTTCCTCCACCACCAAGACCTCCGTCCGTTCCTTTTCCATCTCGTCTCAAGAAGCATAATGAGGACCGACAATTCGCGAGATTTGCCGAGATGCTGAAAAAGCTTGAGATCACCATGCCTTTCACAGAAGCCATCCTGCAGATGCCGTCTTACACGAAGTTTCTCAAGGACATACTCACGAAGAAGCGAGTCATGGAAAAGGAGACGGTATCGCTCAACAACGAATGCAGTGTGTTAATTCAGCATGAGTTACTGCCTAAACGAGCTGACCCAGGAAGCTTCTCGATACCCTGCAAATTGGATAATGTCTCCATTGACAGGGCATTATGTGATCTCGGAGCCAGTGTTAGCCTTCTCCCACTATCGATATTCAAGAAGCTGAATGTGGGAGAGTTGAAGCCGACAAGGATGGCGCTCCAGCTTGCTGATAGATTGGTAAAATATCCCGCTGGGATATTGGAAGATGTGCCACTTAAGGTGGGAAACTTCTATGTACCGGTCGACTTCATGGTATTGGACATGGACGAGGACTCGAGAGTACCGATCATACTTGGTCGTCCATTCCTTAACACCGCAGACGCATTCATCCATGTGAGAGCTAGCAGGCTGACGATGAAGATTGGCGATGAGACGGTGGAGTTCATGTTGGTTTAGTGCTCTATGATGAACTGTTGTATGAGCTTTCTTATGATACATTTGATGTATTGACACTTTCTATGAGCTTATGGTTGAGTATCTGATTCATTACGTATTGTGCATACTTGATATGTTATGAGATCCATGTATTGTTATGAACAATACTAAACTCCCTAGTCATGTATCATTGTGAGAATAATGATATACCAAGACTAGTATGATGTGTGATTGATGATCATATAGATGATCATAGGTATTGGATACGATCACAATCATAGGTATTCGTTGGAGAACGGAATACTGGATTGACACGCATGAGATTGTCACATGGACTAACGTCATGACTTGAATCTCATATGGCGGTTCCATGATTGGATCCTAAGACCTGAGATATCTACGGAATCCAACATGAGGAGTTGCGTGCTTTGAATACGTCAAACGTTCTGCGTAACAGGAGAACTATAAAGGCGTGTATCAGGTACGAAACGAATCATGTGCTGGATTGTAGATAGTCAAGATGGGATTTGTACCTCTCGTAAAAGAGAGAGATATCGATGGGCCCCTCGTGTGAGCGAGACTGTAGAAATGTGTGGCCGCACTATAGACGAACGTCGTCTATTTCAGACAAACGAACTCAGTGAACGAGAAAGCAGTCGAATCAGATAAGGTGGCTTGTCCATGCCTTATATTCGACATATGATATCGTGATACAAAAGGATCAACAACCGGAATCATCACTGGCGTTCGTAAGATCACGAACAAACTCTATTCGAGATAGGTAGTCATAGTGTCTTGCTAGAGACCGCCTATGACTTGTATATTCGGAATAGAGATTTTGGGTTATACTACTATATCGGATGAGCCTACAGGGTCACACACACAGGAAAGGACAAATGCGCGAGAAGAGACGAGAAAATACTGGTGGAGCAGAGGCCAGACCGACCAGTTCAAAAGGTCTGGACCGATCGGTCCGGGGGTAACGTGTGAAAGTCACTCGGTCCGGAAATGTTGGGTTTTCCTGGGATCTCAAGAGCGAATCTAATTCCTAAGAGATCAGTTCTAGGGTTTGCGCAGCGGATGTAAAACAAAATTTTTGATGAAACCCTAAAACTTATCATGCATGATCTTGTAGAAACGTTAGAACGCTTACCTCAATCGATCTGGGGCCTATATCAATTGATTTGTTCGTCCGATCATGGTAGACAGGAAGAATACCTTGCCCTCTACACGTATCCACAGGGCGGAAAGGATTCCAACAGTTGAAACTCGTCTGCTAGGAATGAAGAACACGTTCTTCTTTGCGCAAGGGTTTCAGGGATCTTTCTCTTAGGTTTTTCACTCTCAAAACCTCTCAATAGGGTCTGAAAATCGTGCCCAGAGAAGTAGGAGGCATTCCTTCAAGTTTATCCCACTTAAAGCCCTAATTAGAGCGAGTTTAGGAAATCCCGACGTCTGGACCAATCGGTCCATGGTTCTGGACCGATCGATCTCGAACACTTTCCAGACCGTGTGACTGTCACACGTTATCTCCGGACTGACCGGTCCAAGAGTCTGGACCGATCGGTCTGGGTTGGCTGGACCGATCGGTCTAGACCTTCTAGACCGGTCGGTCTGGCCTCCGCTCCACCGGGATTTTCTCGTCTCTTCTCGCGCATTTGTCCTTTCCTGTGTGTGTGACCCTGTAGGCTCATCCGATATAGCAGTATAACCCGAAATCTCTATTCCGGATATACAAGTCATAGGCGGTCACTAGCAAGACACTATGACTACCTATCTCGAATAGAGTTTGTTCGTGATCTTACGAACGTCAGTGATGATTCCGGTTGATGATCCTTTTGTATCACGATATCATATGTCGAATATAAGGAATGAACAAGCCACCTTATCTGATTCGACTGCTTTCTCGTTCACTGAGTTTGACTGTCTGAAATAGACGACGTTCGTCTATAGTGCGGCCACACATTTCTACAGTCTCGCTCACACGAGGGGCCCAACGATATCTCTCTCTTTTAGAAGAGGTACAAATCCCATCTTGACTATCTACAATCCGGCACATGATTCGTTTTGTACCTGATACACGCCTTTATAGTCCTCCTATTACGCAGGATGTTTGACGTATTCAAAGCATGCAACTCATGTTGGATTCCGTAGATATCTCAGGTCTCAGGATCCAATCATGGAACCGCCATATGAGATTCAAGTCATGACGCTAGTCCATGTGACAATCTCATGCGGGTCATCCAGTATTCCGTTCTCCAACGAATACCTATGACTGTGATCGTATCCAATACCTATGATCATCTATATGATCATCAATCACACATCATACTAGTCTTGTTATATCATTATTCCCACAATGATACATGATAGGGAGTTTAGTATTGTTCATAACAATACATGGATTTCATAACATATTAAAGCATGCACAATACGTAATGAATCAAACACTCATCCATAAACTATAGAAAGTGTCAATACATCAAATGTATCTAAGTAAAGCTCGCTAACAGTACATCATAGAGCACTAAACCAACAATCTCCCACTTGCTCTAATCATGGACTGCTAAACATCTAATGCCCATATCCCTAACATGACCCTCAAGCTTCGACGAAGGGAGAGGCTTCGCCAACGGATCGGCATTGTTGTCATCTGTCGACACTCTGCAAATGTGCACGTCTCCTCTGTCTATGATC